GATCTTTCAAAAATTCATTTGTTCTCATCAGCAACATGCTTAGCACTGTTGTGTTAGATGTTCAGTACAACTTTGGAAGGTTTTCGTTAACTTCGGAGAAAGAAAAATGAATTTAAAGAAAAGCGCCGGGGATCCTCAGAGATCATACAAAAGCTGGAAAATGCGGTTCGTACAGCTTCTCGCTCCTGTTCAACATGTTCATAGTGAAGGATAGTAGGAATACTTACGGACAGGTAGACAGCGTGAAATCCAGATATCTGGAGCTTCAGAATACGAAACTTTCTTTTAAGCTGCGATTCCCTCCCCGCGGCCATGTAAGTGCATGCGGCCCTAAGAGGGAGATCCGTGGCACGGAGCTTATCATTCCGAAAAGTTACTGCAGCTGGGTGTTCCTTGTCCTTTTCAAAGAATAGTCACAGCAGTAGGAGCTTCTGCTGCCAGCAAGTTGCAGCAATGTAAATGGAGCCCTTGTTGGGGACGACTTTTTCAAATGACTTTGAAGTACTCAGTTTTGCTTACCTTAGATACAAAAGTTGGCGAGTAACACTTGTTCAAGTCGATATTACCACGAAGTATTTGACACAGTATACTCTGTCGAGGTTGTAGGATCTCATGTAGCGACAAGATAGACATTAGGGGGTGTCAAGGGCTCTCTTTTCTGTTATTGGTAAACGAAGCTTGGAAGCCGCCGCCACTCTTTCCTAGCATCAAACAGCGGACAACTGCTCGGATTGCTCTTAGCTAAGCTTTCGACAGTATTGTAGACAGAAATCTCTAACTACATCTTGCTTCAGGTCTGCTGAGAATAAACCTCGACGGTATAAAAAAATGTCGGAAATTGCCCAAATTTCAAGAATTCCTGGAAATTCCACCATTTTTGAAAAACGGGCGGAGCTTACCATTGAGGGGCGGAGAGCTCGCCCGACGGGGGGCGGGCCTGGTCAAAGTTGTTTGAGATCTTGGCGTCCATCTACGGCGTCCCTGTGCTTTTTTTGTGCACAAAAAAAAAGATCCTTGTGAGGAGCACAGGAGTGGGCGGGGTCTGCCAAAAGGGGCGGGGCTATCACATAAGATACATCTGAGCCTACGTTGATTATATGAACACAAGCTGAGAGGATTGGACTGATGGGATTTGAATTAAGGCCGTCGCGCACCCTTGAGCGGTGTCGTCAACGTGTTAAAATCAGGGTCAAGCGTGGGGTGTGGCATGCCACACCTGAGGGGTCGTAGAGGGGTCTGGCAGAGAAGGGGGTCGTTAGCGAAGCTATAGTGATGTTAGTCAGGATGTCAGTCAATGTCTGATAGGCCCATATAAGATCCAGCACTGTTGCTCTGGCCTACCGCCATAGGCGCACAATAAGCATATTAAAAGAATCCTGAAGGCATAAAAGCATCATTTTCGTAATCAACATGTCAAATAACCCCTGTGAACCAAGTTTCAGCAATTTTGAGGTTTTTAAATATTGGGACACTCAAGCGAGGTGGTCATTTTCGAATATGCTAACTTTGTTTCAAATGTGAATAAACTACTTCTTTGCATTTATTACAAAATACTGCTACTTCTTTGCTCACTTTAGAAATCTCACTTCAACTTACCCCCAATTCTGGAATTAAGAGCAAGCCAAATCTCTTTTGTCCCATTTTTCGCTTTCAATTTCTCAAACTAGAGAAGACCAGTCAGGTTCAAATCACTTCTGTAAAAGTTACGAGGGTCAGTCTATTGAATACACTTGTTGTACACTTGTTCTTATCGCCTTCCCTCGCAATTCACGCAGTAGCGCAAACTTAGCACATTAGTAATCCGGTATTCTCGCGGGTTTCCATTTGCTTAGCTAAGGAAAAACAACTATATCTTTCCCTAGGAGAAACAATTTTTGATGAAATTCTTGCTATGTGGAGAAGAAGGTCCAGCAGTAGCAGCCATATAAAAGAAAGACAGAGATCTGAGTGCTTCAAAGGTAAGTTAATGGTGTGTGGCACAACCCCCAAAAAGTTGTGGCGACCACAGCTCTTAGGGGTCGTGCCACACCCCATTTACTTACCTCCGAAAAGAATTTTAGCGAACAAAGTATATAGGGCTTATCAAACGCAGTGTCGCTTATATCAGCATCTCCACTCCCGCGCGCTAGACTACTCTGCATCTCTTCCGCGAACACGCTCTCTGATCACTTTCGCAGGCCGAGCGTGGGAAAGGCGGAGCCTCAATCGATTAGGTCACAAAGCAATCGCGGAAGAGACGCAGATCCAGCGCGGGAGTGGAGATGCTGATGCAAGCGACACTGCGTTTGGTAAGCCCTATATGTACTTTGATAGTCTCAGTCTTGTAGTTTTCATAAGAGTAATTTGAGCCTGATTCATCTCCTTCGCTCTTAATAAAAGCTAGTGAAAGCGCAGCCACTGGAAGCGAAAAATTGGACAAACGAGATTTTGGCCTGCTTCTAATTCCATAGTTTGATGGTTATCTGAAGCAGGATTTATAGTATGGTTAAATAGAGAGTAGTGCTTTGCATTGATTACAAACAGAGTTAGCTAAATCGCTTTTAAAATATAGTGTTGGTCAGTTTGAATACATTTACTGCACTTGGGTGGTCCAATTTTGGGAACCCTAACAACTCGCTAAAATTGACCCATGGTGGTTATTTGACGTATTGTCGACTCCCCAACTTTGGCGAGGCGGAGCCGTGATCTTCAAGAAAGATCGATGGATCAGGTTCGCCTCAGCACAGGGCAACCGCAACGCAAGGCACGCTAGCGCAGCTCCGCCTCGCCAAAGTTGTGGAGCCGCTCATATATGTGCCTATAATTACTCAGACAATCTTGCGCGCAGGCGGCGCGCACTGAATCAGCGAGCGATGTGCCTTCCCGCCGCCTGTGTGTACAGTGCGCGCCGCCTATGGATTGAAGGCCCGCCGCCTGCACGCTACGAGGAAAATTTTGGCAGGAATCTGCTCGGATTTTTGTTGTCGGTTTGAATATCTTCTGCTTCTTGGACAATATGGTTTCAAAACTATTTTATTAACAGATAATATTTACAATTTTCAAATTTGACAGACTTTGAAACAGCGATTCGATCAAATACATTACTTACAAAATCAAGGCTTCAGTAGCTAATATCGTTCACTGTCACAGCTTAATACGTACAGAGCTCACATACTCTTTCAAATGCGATATCACAAGATGTGTGTATGAAGTAATGAGTACAACGAAGTTGATAGTAATAATCTGTGCAGCAATATGACGAGATAACTTGCAATAACCGCCAATGAAATCGACTAGAATATGAAAATGCGATAGCAATGAACAAAATGTGGGCATGCTGAATCAGCCAGAATTAGATGCTCATAGACTTCATATACCCAATTCAACCACAGGGAACGAACAATTAGATGACGGGGACATGACGGATAAAATAATGAGAATTGGGATGTATGATGAGACATGAATAATCTGGATCAGCCTTTTCCTGTTAGTCCTCGTAATGGTCTTTCTTCTATCAAGGATTAATTCCATCAGTCGGTGCTAGACGCTTGCCGTGACGCTGAAATACACGCTATTAACAAACTGAAAAGAACAAGGAAAATTTTGACGAAAACTGAAAAAATGCAACTTCTCACCTCTTCAAGATAAATAGTCAGCGCTGAGGTCCCCGCGACCGTAAACCATCTTGATTCTTGATATTTGGGGCCACTGTAGGTTGGTGGCTGAAACAGGACAATATGTTTTCAGACAAAATACCACTTTGGCTTGAAAAAGCAAGACTTACTCTTTTGAGCGGACTTTCTTTCGACATTCACACATGCCATCATTGTACGGAGGTAGTTGTGGCCTGGATTCAACACTGCTTTTATCTTGAGAAAAAAGGATTGGCAACGGAAAGAAAAGTAGGAAACGCGACGACGCAAGAAAGCGCTATTGATTGAAAGTAAGCGTCCCTGTGTCACGAGATCAATATGAGTAAGGACCAGAAGTAGGATAAAAGGTACGGAAGATGATATGAGAAACAAGAGTGATTTTGGATGAAATGAAAGAGGACGTGCTACAAAAAGGCAAAAAAAATTGCGTACTTGATCTCAAAACAATTTAGAAATAGAAAAAGAGGTGAAACAGCAGAATAAAAGTGAGGTAATCGACACACAATACTTTGCATGAAAAAGAAAAAAAAAGAGAAACGAGGGGTGGAGGAACGAACACCTCAGTTAGGCACCGCCTCCGCGGACCACTATTCCCAACACGATGCACAACAGTAGGACGAAAGGACCAGCAGCCCGCAGAGGCGATGCCTAATTGAGGCGTTCGTGGGAGACGGTCTTTTCGCACGGGCGGTCTCCAGCGTCTCCCTGATTCTGACTTGTCTTAACATGTAATGCACGCCGCAAATCTTTCTCAGACACTCGCACCGGCCGGCGACCGTCCGACGACGGCCTTCCGGCCGGCGGCCGCTCCGTAAATCTGGGCGGAGCTAAATGCCGGCCGGTGGCCGCTCCAAAAAAATCATACCGGCTGGTGGCCGCTCGAACGGCCGTCAGCCGGTAGCATTGCCATGTCGCGGGAAGTGAGCGGGATTTGAAAATTGCATGATTGAGCTGCATAAGCAACGCTCTACTTCTCCTCTTTCATAATTGAGTCCCTTTTTTGCACTTGTTTTTCCAGTTTCCACTTGTTTTTCCACTTGTTTACGTAATTCATCGTTAGAAGAAAGATTCGTAAGCTTATCACTCAAAAATGTTTAGAATTCCGCAATGATGTTATTCTATTTGCTAATACCGCTCTCTTCAGCGTACCATTGCTTGCACTCGCTGTTTATCATCCTTACCCATGATGGAGCATATGACCTTTCGACTAACTCTCCATGTATCTTAGCACTATGCATCATGGATTACGGGTGTACTACATATACACATTTCTACGGGAGTTCGTGTTCTATTGTAAGACTACTGACCTTGCGCCTAAATAATTCCTAGTATAGACTCCACTAGACAGGTGCGTTCTTATCTCTAGCAATGTTGAATAAATCTCATGTTCTACGGATTCCCGGTATCCCTGTGTCTGTCTTTGTGTACACTGCAAAAGGTAACTGGGTTTAAACCAATCATTTGAGAGAAACTGATCTTGGTTAGTGGTTTAGGGGAAACATTCGCTGAACGCCTCCTGGAATAGGTATTTGGGTTGCTCCGCTCACTGACATAGCAATTCCTGAGCAGGTAAGTCTTGCTATAATGATCTTTTGTCAAAATATTATTTTGTTTGCAGATGTCCGCTGTGTGGCATTCACCCTAAAGAATACGAGAGTGCAGCAACCTGTCAACTCGAAATGGGCAGCGAGCGGTCCGATGTGCTATCTTCTGTGTCGACCGGATGTTCTCATGTACAAAAGACGTCATCTTCTCGTAGACATAAGAAACGTTTAAATTTTATAGCTTCATTAGATATTGTGTTAGGCTTTACGTATTAGTCTCATTTGTAATCAGTTCCTCACTATGTATGGAATAAATGGATATGTTTTTGCGGTTCTGTACTATGTTTCGTGATTGGAGGGGGGAGGGGGGGGGGGGCAAAGCAAAAGCTGCAAAGCGAAGAAGAATCGCGCCCCACAACCATTCTGTTGCGCGATTGACACATACCGGCCGGCGGCCGTCCGAAAACCGGCCGGTGGTCGTAGACTACGCGGCTGAGTGAAATGACCTGTGGTGCCGCCAGCCGGTCTTTGTGCGGCCGCCGGCCGATGCGAGTGTCTGAGTTCCTCCCCGTGTTTTGCTTAGGCAAAAGCCGCCGCAGGGTGTGTCGCGCGCGGCGGTGGTCCTGTGTGGAAAGCATTACGGTCGTGCGAAACGTCACACACCCCTACAGAAAGTTCATTGCGCGCCGCCCGCATGCACGCCGTGTTTGCGCTCCGCCTGCGAACATGCATTGCGCGCCGCCTGTTCGCTGAAAATCAGTGCGCGCCGCCTGTGCGCTGCCTGCCACGCCCACAAATCATGGCGCGCCGCCTGCCGTGCTAGCCGTGAGTGCGCGCCGCTTGCGCGCAGAATTGTCTGAGTATGCATGGTAGACCCTTTATGTCATGGCTGCCGAAGGAAAACGATAATGCTGGTGGGGAGGGGGCGTTGAGGGAGAAGATTAGGGGGGGGGATCGTATCCGCCGCTTGTGTGCCGCACCTCTTGCTCGACCCTAGGGTCGAGCAAGAGGTAGGTTTATGGTAACGGTCGAAAACGCAAATCGGCAAATGTATCTTTCCCCTATGCTTTGCTTAGGCAAAAGCCGCAGCAGAGAGTGTATCGCGTGGCGGTGGTCGTGTGTGCAAAGCTTCACGGTCGTCTGAATCGCCGTACACCCGTTTCAGGCAGAACTATGTTTCACACCCGTTACCATGTAGCTACCGTAACCCGAGAAAATGACGCTACGGTTCAAAACCAATGTGATATTTGGCATCAGCGGGCCGAATAACCCCCCTAGGCCAAGTTTTAGCGAAATCCACGACAAAAAAATTTTGGGGCCCGGATACTGGAATAGCGCCCAAAGTACGAAATCATACCCTCATAGACAAATAAGAAAAAGGAGTGCCTTCTGGTTTGTCCTCCTTATACACTGGATAGGGAACGCCCATTGCTCAGTAACAACAAAGTCTGGAGGCGTCGCCAGGTCACCAAACTCAGGTGCGAACCAAATGTCGCACATCAGATATGAGGTGCGAACACCCTGCAATAGTACAACGGGTCACTGAGTGACATGGGACTAGTAAACACACCGATAAAAACTAGTGACTAAGACGAAAGAGAGGGGCTAAGAGCAAATGAATACAAAAACACGGTAAAACATGCAAAGCTGAAGTTGAAGTTAGGAAAACGTAAGTATTCGAAAAAGCTGACTTCATTGAAGGGAACGATACAATTGATGACAGAGTAGTAATCATTCACAAAACCTTCAATTACAGTGAAAAGAGCTTCAAATCGTTTGAATCACGCTAAAAAGAAGCATTACCAACTCAATATACTTCAAAAAATGTGCAAAATAAGATTTTATGATTAAACCACCGTAATTTTTCCCCCAAATCGGTACGTGAATGTACATGAATGCAGCTTCAGCACACGCACTCTCACAGAAAAGTTGTCATTGCCCGCTCGCAGGGCAAAGTTTGCGGCGCGCTTGCACGGAAGCTAGCTTGACCTCTCAAATTAGGCTGGCCGCAGGCATGGTGGCGCCTTTTTGCTGCGCGCTCGCACTGCCCGAAGCCCTGAGCTGCTCTTGACCGTCTCCCCTGTTTTTGTCCGTGCCCAAATTACCCGAACTGTTCCGTCCCGCAATTGCGGAGTCAAGTGATCGATCGGGGCGCCGCAGCAAAAGTTGTTGCTCTGAATTCGTGTTTTTTATTCATTCTGAGGATTATAGAAAACCGAGGAGTTGACTATTTTTTTAGGTTCCGGGTATGCTTACACCGCCGCTGAGAGCAATTTCTCGGCGTACCATCCATACTTCTCGCTTATTACGTTGTGAGTTATCTGTTGCTATTTTATTTTTTTCTCGTACTTTGAAGTGTTGCGTTATAAGTGGTTGGAAGAGATTTTGCATGTTCCTTAAAATTTTATTTTTATATCTCAGAATCTTTTTGCATTTTCCACTTTTAGTGCGTGGACCACTTACATTTGATGGCTGGTATCCTCGAGATCATAAACCAGGAGAATATGCGGTCACTGAAGATGAACGACGTGCTGCTGCCATCAAGTTTGTTCTTTTTGGTTATAGTTTGGTCGTTAATCTGAGTGGTTGATAGGAAATCCAGAATTAAGCTTCATCTTTTTTCAATGTTGTTCGCTAGGAAATTTTTAGTATATTCCATCGTTTTTAGATGATGTTTTTTCTTAATTCATAATCTTGTGCTGAAGGGGATTTGCAAAGTGCTTTCGTTACCTGTTCGTATCAGAATTTTAAAAGCTTGTTGAGGACCCGGCTTTGAAGCTTTTCTGAAGTTTCTGATGTGTTTCATGTTCTACCGATAGGAGTTCGAACCCGTGTACATAAATAATATGGGGTTTTCTTGTGGATTGAAGCTCTTTGTAGATTCGCTCGCTTGTTTTCTCTTCCAGTTACAGATTTTCCAGCGGTACATGAACGGTACACATTGGGTGATTACAGCTGTAGTTTACACTTAGAAGAATTTTCATACAAATGAAGGGCATTTGGTTACAGAGACATCTATTTGGAATTCTTCCGTTATGAATATTTTTTGACGTTGTTCTGCACTAAATTATTAGAGCGTTTCTCTGATGTAACTGTATAGTTAAAAACGTTTTGTGCATCTGCTATCTTCTAATTCTATAGCTTGAAAAGTCACCTTCAAGAATTTATGTTTCTAAAATGAATCGCGCTGTTGTATCAGCAGCATAGCATTTTTTTGCATATAGCTAGCCTTTTGTAATCTTTATAATCTTTATTTCGGTCTTTAATACAGTCTGTAGAGTCTGTATTGACTATATCTATGCTCTCCGTTTCAACCGTGATGTAAAATCATGCAGTGTTATCGCTTAACTTAGATGAGTAGACATTGTGAAAGAATAAGCTACACTTTTACTGCAGGTATGGGCTTCGACCAGAGGATTACAAGCCGATGAACAAAGACGATGTAGTACGTTATGCTGGCGATTACCCCGATTTGGGAAGTGTAACCTATGATCACAAGGATCCTTATGAAGATTGGTCTGATAGGCTGAACAGGAGAAACTGGGGAGAAATGGTACATCATTCCTTGCGTTTTCTCTTTTTTCTTTCAGTCGAATTTGCGATTTAGGTACCCATGGATATGATGCGACACAGGGGTGATCGTTTGACATTCACTGGACTGGAATATGAAGACTTTACAACGTTAGTTAGAACATTATGATTCATTTTTCAAATTCTGCTTCCATTATTTATAGGTTTTATTTGATTTGTCCTCGTTTCCATCCATATTGTAACTGGTACCAATGCCTAAAAACTTTTGATCAGGTTTGGGCGCTAATGAGGCAATCAGTGCGTCCCTCTCTACACGCGTCTGAGACCTTTGCACAGTTCATCGCTTCTTTCCCCTAAAACTCATGAGGCTGTTATTACACTGCATTCATCTGTGCGTTGTGCCGCGAAATGTAAATTTGATTTGTTGATAGCAATCTTCGCTTCGTTGTAAGTGATGTAAAACAAAATTATGTTTTCCACAAAAGGTTCATCCCTCACTTAGGAACTGTCTTTTTGATTTTAGCACTTTGAGTTTTTCCTGTTAGAACAAATTTTGTGAAGATAAACATAACACCTGTTTAGATGGGGTTCCATTATACTTTGCCTGAGAGTACTAGTGCCGATGGCTCTCCTGTCTTGGTACTTCTGTACGAGAGATCCTAACGCTTTACGATGGAAGAATCCTGCGGTGAGTTATATGTCAATATTGCGCTGTATTCGTGGATATCACTTTTCCATTGGTCCCTTTCATCCTCGATTTTGATTGTTTGCCTAGCTTTTCAGATGCCAAAGCAGTATCCATACGACTTTTATCGCGCGTTCCCGTATGATGACGCTAGGAGATTTCCAATCACGAACTACTCCTTTGATCTGGAATAGGATAGTGTTAGCGGTGTCTTGTAGATGGTGTTGTGTCGATGTAGAAAAGTTTACTAGTAACTCATATGAACGAATAAAGCATGACTTGCTAATTTGATCTCCTTGAATGTTGGGTCTGATGCCTATGTTATTGACCTTTGCTGTCTTTTGTCACATTTTTAGGTTACGTACCAATTATTATCTTGATTCAGGGTTTGTTCAGAAGGTGACGAAGACTGGGCGCGATAAAGCAGATGTTTTTTCTTGATGATTTCCTGGAAAGTGAGTCTATAGTATACCCAAGGACAGCGAAGATTTGTAACATTGTTTATCTATTTTTAGTGCTCGATGAGCTACCAGCGGAACTTCGAGAACGTTGCACCGAAATGCGGCACCTTGATATGCAAGTAGAAGGTGAGCTAATTCTTTCATGCAAATCTTTCTAGAAAGGCAGCTGTTGTTGCTCTTCAGTTGTTCCATAAAGCTCCTTGTATGCTCATTGATGTTTTCCTACACTTTGTTGTTGAGCATTTATATCATGGTTGCTGTGTTCGTGAATACACTTTTTTCCTTTAGCCGGTCTAGCACAAAATCGACAGGCTCTCATTGAATTTTTTGACCGTGGAAGCCAGCTCACAGAAGAACAGAAGCAGCAACAGTATCAAGAACTGCAAAAGGTTGGCGAATGTGTTTTTTATTTCCCATGTTCGGACAGTGGTGATAGGTGTCATGTGATTTTTACATTGTTTTCAAGCAAACTTCACTGTCTCTTCATTTAGGAGTACGATCGACTCAGAGTTCTGGGTGAGATGAAAGTCTCACTGGCGGAGCGCATGCAGGAAGTTCTAGAGGCCTACATGCAGTACTTAGACAAGGAAAAGACTCACTTCAAGTACGAATTGGAAGCTGACAATCCAGGAATTACTGAAATCATAGAAACTCGTAAGTTCACTCAAACAAATACATCTAGCAATTTTGATCAATTGCAAATTCTTTAGGATTTGCTAACTATTGTGAGTCTTTGATCGCCATGCGGAAAGAACGGAAAAGGAAGCTCACTAATGGATCTGCGGAACAGTATCTAGAGCCGTTGTCGAAAACCCCAAAGTAATTTTCCACACTTACTAAAGTAACTACATTTGTTTTACTAATTCAGAATAACTAGTGATGGGACCTCACTTAGCAACTACGTCCGTAACGAGTTCACTTTGGGTGAAGATGAGGTATGATTGACATCATTCCTCACTTTGATAATGTGTAGTTAATTCATTATTGTAGATAATGTCTCCCATGGTATCCGGTGTTGGACCGGCACGGAGCAGCAGAAAAACGCCTGTGGATGAGTATAATATGATGAGAGTCAGTTTTTATATGACGTTTTCAGTTTATTTTAGATTGTTCCAAGATTTTACTCGGGATGTGAGTCACAGAAAACTGAATTGCAATGTACTAATTTTCTCTTTTCTTTTCGAAGTTAATTTTAGTCGCAGAGTAAATAGTTACCGTTTTTGAGTATGCGCGAACAAGTCTTCTGTGCTCTAGGATAGCAAAGTCTGGGGGGGGGGGAGAGAGGAACGGGAGAGAAAACCTTGAAAATTATAGTTTCGACAACCTACAATTAGGTGAAGTCTAAAGACATCAATCTGTTTTAGCGTCGTTCAACCTCCACAGTTCTCAAGACATCCGGATCAACACCTGCTATGAATGCGAACGCTGTTTCTCCTGCAGTCAGCGAGAAGAGTGAGAGTTTGCCTAGTCTGACATGCATCACATTTTGTTTCACAGGTTGGACCCCTCTATCTGGAGTACCAGTCATGGACGAGTCAACGCAGTCCTCCGCCTTGACACCTTTGGTATGCAATTGATCTTTCTTTTCAGTGTGAAAAATTGCTCAATATGTTAGCTCCGCTTGTAGTGAAATTTTTTTAACGATTTTTGAAGCTTGGATATCAATGCTTGAAACTTTTTCTGTTTGAGTTTGGCTAGCAACTAGCTTTTTTTTGAAATGTGCTTATAGTCTCGCGGAAAATCAGTTTCATTATTTCCTTTGTAGAGCGCATCTTCATCCATTCATCCAGCAACACCTACGACTATGCCAACTTTTGTAGGACCGGAGAGCCGCCACGGAAGGCCTCGCAAGTCCGTTACTTCCAACACTTCTATAATTTTCGTTTATATGTTGTTGTTGTTTTCTTTTTCGACTGGAAAAGACAGTTTATCTCATGTTCGTATGTATAGCATTTTTCAGGCTGACATCGCGAGTACAAGAAATGTTCAAAGAAGCTGTACAACGGCAGCGACATCATCACTACCAGAAAAATGTTGATGCTCCGCCAACGAGTGAAACCAATACAGAAGATGATGAAGAGAGTGAGTAAACGTATCTGTCTTGAGTATCCGTAACGTTTTACACTAAACAATTTACTCAGTATCTGAAGAAGATGAAGATGAATCTGATGATTCGCGTCGCAAATGGTGCTTCTGCAATGAGAAGAGTTATGGTGAAATGGTGGCATGTGACAACAAAGCGGTTAGTGATTTTGACCATAGTTTGTTTTTGGATTTTCGATACGTTGCATTTTTCAGTGCCCATACCAGTGGTTCCATTACCCATGTGTCAACATCTCATCAACTCCCAAAGGCCGCTGGTACTGCCCTCATTGCACTGAGGAACGGAAACGCAGCGAAGCGTTGGATCTCAGCACTGGCACAGTTCCCACCACTGCTGTTCTTTGATTTTTCTCTTTTGATTTGAACAAAATGGCCAAAATAGGTGCCGTTGCTAGTCACTACCATGTATTGTTATGAAACACAAAGTCCTCATTCCAGCAATCGCCCTGTAATTGCGCTGTTTCTGAATTTGCAGCAGTTGCAAAGTTTGGACTTTGTACAATGCCCTCTTACACACTTTTATAGTTTCACAGTTACTCAATTATGATAGTGTTCTTGCTATCACCAGCGTGCTTTACTGCAGATTGTAAGTGGTTCAAAGACAGAAAACAATTGCTGGAATGAGAACGAATATATACATTTCACTATGCGCGAGTGCGTATCATGCGATTCTTGTGAATGTGGTATATCAGCAGAAGCAAACTATCTACTGCTCTCTTAGCAACCAAACAGACAAGCAAGAAACCTCCGATATTGCCAAATCTCCGCGTTTTATCTACCAAATACATCTGGCATACAAATATCCTGCCTAATGGGAAGCGCATGAACATATTTGCAGGAGAAATTCGTAGAGCAGATAACGGTGTGGCTTGCAAACAGAATTTGCACAGTTCTCCTTCAATGCACGGCTGCAATACTTTCTCATTCACAAACAGATTTCCATCGTTTTACACTTTTTCTTACAAAAACCGAAAAACTACTTATCTCCATCTTCAGGAACTGCGCTAAGCTATTGCAAACCATATTATCGTTACAAGAGATGTAGTTTATGTATTCGATGGTTATCAATCTTCTCTGTGTAGAGCTTGAACAATAGTGGAAATAGAATTCCCTTACCGTTCGCTTGTCTGTTCTGTTGAAATTGGAAGCACTTTTGATCTCCACAATCGAATGGCACGTCTTCACGCTAAACTATTTGTCTACCGCACTTCACTTGCATGCATCATCACTCCTTTCCACTAAATGGAGTTTTTATTCTATTTTCAATTTGGAAAGGTTAGTAGTCGAACACTTTATATCTATTCTACAATTGCATGGGATCCATCTATGTTCTTAATTTTTCTTCATTTAAACATATTTACATCTTGATAGTACATTACAAATGTCTTGAGATCTTATTGACCATCCTTTTCGTACTCAACTGTTTACCCTACTGAGTTTATCAGCCAAATTTTCATTGATCTTTGGTCTTACTAATTTTGCCAGTGCAACCTTTTTTTGCATTGTCAATTTTACTATATGTTCTGCATGCCATCCAATTTGCACAATATTTGTCACTTGCACCGTCAAATTCAAGATAACATCCATGCGTTCTCTTGTCGGCTTTTCTTGATTAGTCTAGCGTTCAATCGATTGATTCTCGTGATGCCTTTGATGTCTTTGATTAATGGCCGGCCCCATGTTTATTATGTGAGCGTGTAGCTACGCTTGGCATCAACTACGTCCAAAATGCATTTATTATCCCCAGTATTTTCCTCCTTAAACGTGATCTTCTTATGCCCTGGCGGTATATAACTCAGTTATAATTATTTTTGAGTTTCTAATTTGAGTTGTTGTGTCATAGATGTATTGTACAAAATGAATGATCGTATAATACGTTACATTGTTAAATGTTTATTTAGAGCATGGTCGCTTGCAATATGCGATGTGGTCATCTTGCTGCATTTTTTGTGACGATCTCATTTGCAAAAGATACCGTTATCAAACCCTCGAGACGCGGATTGAACCCGACCTACAAATTTGCTGAAACGAACTTTTTCCAAAATCATAAGAGTGTTTGATCAATCATGATTTCCAAGTTTTTAGTCACAAATCTAGCAGAAAATAGTTCAATATTGGAGTCAGCACACTGATAACATTCTGTTTACGCTTTCTTGATCTCTAAGTGGCTTTGTTTGATGAGACTCCAATAAATTCACACTTTTGGGTTTTTTTTCCATTGTGGAAATAGGAAAGCAGACAAAATAAACATTTTAGGCGCCTCAAAACGTATCTTTTGTTGAGTGTCGGCGGAACTTAAGATCCTTTCTGAAGTTGTTTTTTTGGGCGAAAATCACTGTAAGTGCTAAGAGTGACGTGATGTCATCGTTTGCGAGGCGTTTTTCCGTAACGGGTCTAGAACATTTTTTCTTTCAAACATGAAAAAATTCCGAGAAACGAAAGCGAGCTAAATTTTGAACAAACAACGCAAACCGAGTGCGCAGCATTCGAAATAAAAATTCATTTCTAGAACTGCAATCAAGGTTATTCAAAAAGTGTTCTTCTCAAAAGCGTAGGCTGCAAATGTAGTTCTGAAATCGTGAAAATATTTTTCTTATTTCAAAGATTCATATTTGATCTACAAGTGCTCCTTGAGATCTACCCATCTAAATTTTATTTCTGGATAGTGTAGATCTTTGAGATCATCACCTATAGGTTTTGGAGATATAATTGAGCAATGATGATTTTACCTATATAACACTTCACTTTTCGAGTAATCATCTTGTTTTGTTTGTACATGTAAGTAAGATCACATCGTGTTTGCACTAGCCTGAGAAACCATTGAAATTTCTGAACCATTGTTAGCAATAATTCCGATATGCACATATTCGATCGACTGCAAGTGGCAAGATATGTGTAAGGGGAGGAGGGGGGGGGGGGTTCGCAAGCAAAAAAGTTTCTGAATGAAGGGGCTTATGCCAAAAATTTTCGACAACATCTCCAGATTTTTCCTTGATGTTTGTCCTTGAATATCGCCAAATGGGCAAAAAAAAGATTCATAACAGCTAACTGGATTTGAAAAAAAAATCTAAAACTTTTTGATCACTTACAGCTTAGAGACTATCTGCATGATGTTGTTTGTAATCAATTTGAAGTACTTCTAGAAATTTTGCAAGTGAGAATATTATAAAATTAGCTCGGTTAATGAATTTTGATATCCAACTTCGAAGCTCCATAATAATAAAGAAGCTCGTTAATAATAATTAACCGTTACTTAGCTACGATTATTTATGAGGGTAATCTCACACTTCTACTATCACATACTCATTACATAGAATTTTTAATGTGACAAAAGACGGTCATGATCTTGTGTAGCTAAACTTTTGAAATACACCATTCTGACTTTCCAAGCTTCGTTTTTAACCTGTATTAGGTGCATAGATGGGTAATTTGGAATCAGATGAGTATTTCAATAGCTAAAAATGACCAAGTTTCTAGGCATTTGCGCGCGAAAGTCAATTTTTGGAGTCCAGATCGCTTGAATTTGAACCAGTGGCCATACAAATGGTTGGAAATAACAAAATCCCACGTGTGCGTACCAATCTGCACCTTACACACAATTTGTTTGTTTTTAGAGCGTGATTTTTCGAAAATTTGACGGGAGTATCTGGCCTTTTCTGCTTCAGCGCCACGATCTTGTCCAAAAAAATAACTTTTGAACAAAAGACTAACTATCCATTTGGCCTTGATTTACTGTTTCTAATGGTATCATATACTTATACATAAATCTATCTGCAGCTTTTCCAGAGCGTTGAAAACGACCAAAATTATTTTGAGCCAACCTAATAGTACCATTTTGCTTGTTACGTAGAGACTCATCGCTGATATTCGACTCAAATGAATCTTATCTAGCAGTAGAATTTATCTTTGACTTTGGTTTTGCAGATGTATTTCATCAGTGATAAGTCAATGCTGGATCACTACTGTCCCTGGGACACTTATCACATTGAAGTACCAGAGAGACTTTCTACAATTTTAGAAGCTGTTCAGGTAAGTAAACAAGAGTTTTTTCTCAAAAGCATATTGCGTGATAGAGGATTTTTGGGAAACTTAAAAAAACCGAAGAAATCCTAATCGTCTTAGCTTCTGTTTTTCCTATTTCTATCTTTACATAAGCTTCTGTGCAGGATCCTGAGCTATCAAGCAAAATCGAATTTCTGCCACTACGTTCTGCTACCGAGCAGGATTTGGAGATGGTCCACACGAGAAAATATATTTCTGACATCGGGAGCACCAAACAGATGTCCACGGTAGTAATCTTTAGTTGTGAATATCTCACGGGAATGCGCAACTGAGGTTTTAGGAAGAACAAGAAGAATTCTGCTCGAATTATGAAGATATTTACGTAAATAAGCATACCTTTGACACTGCTTTGCTAGCAGCTGGGTGTACATTCCAATTAGTTGATGCAGTCTGTAGAACTGAGTGAGTTTTTCGTTTCTTGAAATCCGGAAAAAAACTCAGGATTTTAGTACTCCAGGGTTTGCGGCTATTCGACCACCTGGTCACCATGCTTTTCCGGATCGAGGTTGTGGTTTTTGTATTTTCAATAATGTCGCGCTTGCTGCTAAATATGTAAGCTGGTTATTTAAGCAAAAATTTTCCACGTGATAAAATTGGGGGAAAAATTATTCCAGGCCCTGAAACAAGGAAATTCCCGAGTGTTGATCGTTGACTGGGATGTGCATGCTGGACAAGGCACTCAAGAGTGCATAGCTGATGATGACCGTATTCTTCTTATCTCCATTCATCGCTTCGAAAACGGCAACTTTTGGCCAAATCTTGAGCAGAGCGCAGTGAAAACAAAGTGTACGCGAGATCTACTCCTTCACGATAGCCTAGCTATTGAAAAATTTCAGTCAAAAACACCATCAATGTGCCTCTTAATGCTACCGGAATGGGTGATTCCGATTATCTGGCAATCTTCCAATTAGTGGTACATCCTGTGATCAATGACTTCAAGCCGGATATCATCCTAGTCTCATGTGGATTCGATGCAGCTTTGGGTAGAGTCAGGAAATTTTCCTATTGTAATTTCGCAAATTCAAAAACCTGTAGAGCTTGTTCAAGACGAAAAGGAAAATAAGTTGCGTAGGAAAACTTCTCTCAATCATTTTACAGTTTATTGAACTGTTTGTTGAACAACTTGTTTTACAGACTAGTGTTCTGACAACTAATTTGCTGCGCCTGCGGTGTCGACAACATTTGTGCGGGAAGTACCCTTTGATTTGATGGGAATACCGGCTGGAAGGCGACCGCCCGCGCCTGCGACGCAGTTTGCGCCTCTCTCACGAGCGTGCTCTCTGATCATTCTCTAGCCTTGATTAGGAAGTTCCGCCTCGAAGTCGCCTTCCAGCTGCCAATCCCGTTGAATTGAAGGCACCGTCCACCCAAAATGGGGTTGATGAAATTTTGATGCCTAGCAGTGGTAGGGCCCAGAACTGTATACTTGTCCAACTCGCGCTGGTAAAAGTTGCTTCTAAAGCGAAAAATTGCCTCGAAAATCGCTCGGATGAAAATTTCGCCACGTTGGCTCCTCCCCTTTGAGTGGGCGTGACGTTCGTCCCGCCCATCCGTGAGCACCCAACCAATCACCGTTCCGGAGAATTCGGCCTGCGGGTTCTGAAAACGGGGGTTTTCGCGGATTTCTTACTTGATATTCGGAATCAAGGGTATAAGAAGGCCCTGGAACGGCAAAAACATGGAAGTCGAAAATTTGGGTGGACGGTGCCTTTAAAGGGTATAGCCATGGCGAAGGAAAAAAGTACATCTTTTCCCGGAAGTGATGCCGGCAGCACAGCTAACCCAACCGTTGAATCTAATGGACTGTATCAATGGGATTACTTCGTAAACGAATTAGAATAAATTTTCTCTAATCATTAGTAGTCAAAAGACTTCGTGCTCGAATGTCGATAAACCTTGGCATTGTGTTCAGTACTGGTTGTTCGGTTCTATACGTCCCGATCTAGCAAGGCTGAGGAAGCCCTGAAGAAGGCGGACGGACCGCCGAAACGTTGGCTTATCGTTAAATAAAGTCTTGCTACCAACCTTGGTTAAGCTTAAAAAACCGTATTACATTAGTAGTCAAATTTACAGGTGACCCCGAAGGCGAGATGCGATTGACCCCAGCAGGCTACGGAACCCTCACTCATCAATTGCTCTCATGGGGCATACCATTAGCTCTGATCCTGGAAGGAGGCTATTTCCTGGATTCTATCGCAGCTGACTTCAAATTCGTTGCTAAAGCATTAGTCAAACAAGAGATCCCTCCGGTTACGATACAGGCACGACCGTCAATTTGGGAAACTCGTAGTACCTATATGAAAAACTGCAATTTAGCCTCTCAATGCAGCTCTTCCCCCCGTTCTCAATCGAATCCACTCAGAATACGGCGTCAGCTTTCCATCTCTAACAATGATTAGAGAGATCAAGCTGATGCTCAACTCCAAAGATAACCCAGAGGTGAAAATCTGAATATCAACATCATCATTATCTCAAATTATTTTGTAGAACAATGCGGAGTTCCAAGGAAAACGAGAGTTCAGCCTGCCATTTCCAACCCGAGGCCTCTATGAGAAAAGACCAGATCAAGTCATACAGGATTTCAAAGATGAACTGCAGAGTATCATTTCCAGTTACGATACACCGAAACCGTACAAGGTAACTTTCTTATCGCGTTTGTGCTTAGGTCGACCCACTACTGCAGGCTGTCCATTTGATGAATCAGGACAACCAGATGAGTACGTCGTGTACAGACTTAAGAAATGGTTTCACACTACAAATCACTAAGGAGATGGAAGGAATTGTGAATTTACTGGTGAGTTCACATATGGGTATTCACTCAAGGCCCGAAACCCTTCATCGCTGTTGTGGTAATGTCACTCATACTGCTCACATTTTCTTTTCTTAAAAAATAGGGATCTCTCGAATGAGAATTGCAAAAGTCACGTAGTTAAACCTACTACTTCTCTTACAGATCTCCCAAAGTGTAAACCCACTACTCCCATCAACAGCATTCAACACAAAAATCGACCGGACTACCACTGAACAGGTTGTGAAACTTCTACAAGAAATTCAAAGCGCCGGCATACCTCAACCATACATCATGTACTTATAGCACCGAAAATAAACATTTATACGCAGTCCGATGCCTATGTTCCATATCATCAGGGTTATAGTATAGCTTACTAGTAGCTAACACAACACGAAAAATTTTTTACACACCCTAAATAATGACTTCATGGATGCAAGAACTACATAAATATATGGTAGTATGTACAGAAAACAATGAACAAATGAGACCCTTGTATATGTAAGTGACAAGAAAATCGGAATCGCGCAAGCAACGTTTAACAGCAGCTGGCGCGATAAAGCTTTACAGATACATCATTATGGAATTTGAGGCAATGTAAAGAAAAGCACAATAACGACATTCTCACACAAGAGAGAGAAACCTGATCTATTGGCAATACGCGCGTTACCGAGGCGGTCGAAAGGGGGAGCAATTGGAGCGAAAAGACGGCTGATGAGCAACGAACACACATTGCAATACATATGTAAGAAAAGATCACAGCCATATGCGCACACCGTCTAAGTATTAAAACTTTCGAAGAGAACGAAACAACGAAATGAATGGCAGCTTCAGAGAAGAGTGCACTTCTGATGTCTGCCCTGTACACTTGCGGGTTCGCATTGTGGCACACCGCATATCCTACCCGAAAAAGTGTTAGGGGATCGGACTACGGTATCAACGACTATCTTCCTACTGATACGTCCATCAGTTTCACAAGAGCTCAATTCGAGGACGTTATTGTTGAGACGGTTCCCTACAACATTCAAATCATAAGTGTGAAAAAATTCGATTTTCACAAAAATCTGCTTGGACAAAAAGAAATCGTAAACAAAAACTTTAATAAACCTAAGTGAACCTCACCTGTGTTGGGCGAAAAGTCATCCACGGATATGAAGCAGGAAAGAGGCTGTTCGCTGATGGTAACTTTGGTGCTGGGAAGGCGCTCCTACAAAGCAGCAACCTTCAACACAATTTCGTTTCCTCATTATGGCAGCAATCAAATACATACCTCGATAGACTCCTCGCTCGTATCACCAGACCCTTTTTCATTTTCTGAAGATGATTGTGCAGTATGTGTAAAGCTCTGCAAAGTCATTATTGAGCAGGATCTATAGGTATCGCCAACATTTAAGCAGTAGTATTCACTTTATGACACCTAGAACAAAGTTCACGCGATTTCGTCGCCTCGCGATTCTCCCAACAACACAACTAGTACGAGTCCATTGTATGTTGATCACCTTGCATTTCCGTTGTGATAGCTAGTCACGATTAGTCGTGTTCGGAAAACTATCACAAACGAAATGCAGAAGGGAGGCATGCAATCGACTCGTAACAGTTGCCTGTTGGAGTATGGCGAGGCGGTAAAAATCGCTTGAACTATGAACGAGGCCTATTAGAAAGGATGGTCTTCTTTCTCAAGAAAAAGCGAAAAGATCCCCAGTTAAGAAAATTTCACAGGTTGCTATTTTTCATATAGTCGTCCTCCCCCCACTAGACACCTAGTGGACAAATTTGAATTTGAGCTAGAGCACGCCGGCTGCGGCAGAGCGCGGCACCTGCAGCTCGTACTTCAATTTTAAACAAATTTTTTCGTGATTCCCCTGCGTTTTAACTGATTTTTGAACGCTAGCAGTTTTCTCAGTTGGTGTTAAAGTTGTTGCTTTTGCTCGAGCGATGAATACCAAGCTCGTTTCTTTGGCTACGATTCCAAGTTGATTTTGGGAAAACGACTAAGTTTGAAAACTTGTGAATTCTCGGTAAGTCTTAACATTGTCTTGCTTCATTGAACTTCGGGTCAAGAATTCCCCATGCGCATCCTTTTTTCCTCACCTGAAAACAGAGTAAAGAAACGGACATAGTAGTACGAAACATCGCCAAGCAACAATAAACTCTTCACTTCTGATTACAACCGTCATTAGAACGAAAAAATCACAATGTGTCGACGATAAAAACACAAAAGAATACCGAACTAGCTTGAAATGCATTTGACGGTGTCGCGCTCTACCGCAGCCGGCGTGCTCTAGTTCGAATTCAAATTCGTCCACTAGGTGTCTAGTGGGGGGAGGACGACTATAACACTCATACACTTCAATTCAAGTAACTTACTGGAGAATTCGGCTGTGAAGTGAGCGAATGTAGATCTATGCTCGATCGCGCGCCACAGTCAGGAATTAGAGTGTGACGTCGAGAGGGGAACCTCTTCATCTGTTTGAGAAATTTCTGAAAGAATAAGCTATGATAAGTAAACAATGCACAAAAACTACAAAGCTTTTGTAAGTAACTCTTACCAGGTCAAAATCACGGTAGATCAATGGAACTCCACCAGGAGTGAACTGTCTCTCGTCGATAGAATCTGTTGAAGAGTAAACATAACGCAAATCTGGAGGAAGCGATGATCCTCTTCTTTGCAAGGATACATGGTGTGCACTGAAACAAAAAGATAGTGTATAGAAAAAAGAGATTTTTAACAACAAGCGTATAGATAAAAGAAATATGTTCAACAATATCTTACCTATGCAAGGAACAGCGAAGATGGTCCTCAATGAAGCAATTAGTGGCAGAGACACCGCGTTCAGGCTTTGTTTCACTACGTCGTCGATTACTTTTCCTCGGCAAGATTTTCCTCTCCTTGCGGAAACGTTCATGATCCAAGAATGGATTTGTATGATCTGGCGTTGGTTCATCGCGAGCTACATCCCGTGCAAGTTTTTCCATGGCAAGAAACGACGTTTCTTCAGCTGCTACCCCTTAAACAATATTATGGAATATCTTAGAAAATGTCAATAGCAACAAAAACAGAACTTCAACGACTTACCTTCCACAATAGGACGGATGTTCCTGGGATTATGGTGAGAATACTTTCTCGTTGCCAAAGCTGCTTCTTTCTTCAGTGCGGCATCAGATCGAGAACGAGCTAGCTTTGCTTCCCTTGCTAAAAGTAAAAGTGCGCGAGCATGAGATTAAGTACTAAAGATGAAAGCAAGCATACCATCTCGCGGTGAATGCGCAGGAGAGGATGGTAACGTTGTGAACACCTTTTGAAGCAAGATGACAATCATTTCAAACGAAGGCCGCTCCAGAGGATCCATCTAAGCATTCATATTAAGCATGGTAACTCTTGGGTAAGCGATAAACTTACCACGCAGGAATGGAAAGCTAGTTTCAAAAATGCTATTGGTGTATCCAGTGGACAGCATGGGGTAAAGCGAACGTAATCGAGACCGAAATTGCTTGTACGGTGTAACCCACTATCAGGATCCGCATCAATCCTCGCAATAAGCTGACAGAGGATCACTCCAAAGGAGAAGACATCGGACTAAACAAGTATGAAGGTGTGGAATACACGTTCTGAGGCAAAAAAGAAATAAGTGGAGTTGAAAACCATTTCAGGAGTAATTTCCCAATCTGTGGCAAAGTCTGGTTAACACGTTGACGACCTTGTGTATCCGCACGTATGCACGCCCTGACTCCCGTTTAGCATTTTCGTGCATCCGCGGATATGGACGCTTGTTTTTTAGGTGCAAACGAAAAGTTTCAAGGTAACTTCTATGCAGTAATACTGTTAGTGGCCTGATTGTCTTACAGAACACAGGGCATCGCGGCAACTCTTCAGAAGTTTTGGCCACAAAATTGGGTAATCAGTACGTTTTTGATGTAGTCAATACATGCTAATTACGTTTTCTCAAGAAGGTGAAAACTCTGTATAGCTGTTTTGAAATCAAACAAAGATGAATCAGGCAAAAAACATCTGGTTTTACAACGCTTTTCTCGAAGAGCGTATCCTCAGATATAGCCATTGCATGGATTATTGGAGGGAAAATCGATGCAAAAACCTTGGTTTGTGTAAGTCCTGGTAAGGCTCTGTAATATGTCTGTATGTCTGAACAAAGTTCGCATGTTTTATTAATAAGTGACAAAAAGACTCCCACATAATGTTTTCGTGCATCCGCGCGTATGCACGGGCCAAATGCGCGAAGGACGTTAGTGGGAGTTTCGCCCAAAATGGCGCGGTCGTCAACGTGTTAAAATACACAGAACAAACCATGCTCAATTTTACAAAAAAAAAAACAGTTTGAGGTAAGAGAAAGGAAAAACATCGTAGTGCAAGGTAAAATAACAATTTCGTGTGAGGAAGGAGTACTTTACCTTTTCATCGTAATACTCTTCCTTGAGACACTCCGGACTCATGAAATACGTTGTACCCACTTGCGGTAACTTCTCACCACGGTTTGGAAAACGACAAGAGAGACCAAAATCCGCAACTACGGCACGTCCCCACTTTGATGGCTCTCGAGTAGATTGCAGAAGAACATTCTGAAAATCATTTTTAAGTTTACAAAGATCAGAGAGTCCTGTAGAAGTGAAGTATATAAAGTTCGAATAAAACATAGCAAGAAAACGCACCATGCTAGTGAGATCGCGATGAATTACTCGCTGAGAGTGCAGATATCGCATCGCAAGGGAGATGTCCAAAGCGTAGCGTATTCTCTGACTCCATGGGAAGGCCGCAGCTCGATCAAGAATGAGCCGAGCTAAGCTGCCGCTTTCGCAATAGTCAACAAGAAGATGCATATCCCAGCAACCTGAACAAGCAAAGTAATTAGTCCTCAAGTGTTCATTCCCTTTATGTAATGATTACCATCATCGTTGACTTGTATGCATACACCACGAAGACCAACGATGTTTTCATGGGATAAGCGATGGAGCATCGCCGCTTCCCGAGCTGCATCAGCATGGATAGCTCTGCGACTGCCAGCGGAGCCAGTACCTTTTGCTACTTTTAGCACCATTTCCTCACCAGTTCTTCGCAGTCGCACCTGAACCGTATTATAAAGAAAAATGTGAGCTAAGGAGACTAAAAGGAGGAACGTGAAATGCACATAACCGTCTACTATATGAGACTGATACAATCGAATGAAGAAAAAAACCAATAATTCATTTCTGTATAAACAATGAAACAAAAATGACTTGATACTGCGCATACCTTCGAGACTTTGCTGAAAAATCCTTCTCCAAGCATCTCCAATATATCAAAATCTTCCATGGCATAAAAGTGACCAAATATGGTAGTCAGTGGATGAGGAGATATCTGAAAGTTACAATTTTGATCATAATGTTATTAAAAATTTTAACTGTGTGCATCCGGATTGCAAATTTTAATCGTATAAAAGCTACAATGAACAGACGTTCTATACGCTTGAGGTCGATCGCGGTTGAAAAAAGAAGTTTCAACTTCAACTTCTGCGATGAAGCAAGAAGATAGAACGGAATAGCAATAGATAAGTAGCAGCTTTTCAGATAAGCGATCAGTTTGTAAAGAAAACTTATGATTTTTCAGCCATTTGATAGCAATTCCAAATTTAGCTCATTTCATAGCTCATCTAAGCACAACGAATGAGACCCCTCCAGCCCCGGAGCAAAAAGTATTTGAGCTGAACGTTTGCGTTGTTAAAACAAGCCATTAAATGTAATAAAAGCAAAATCAAAATGGCAATAACTCAATCTAAATTACCTTGGGATGTGGCGTGTGCGGGCAGCTGTCACTTGAATCTTCTGAACTTCCTGCGGCTTCCACTTGTAAAGGAGTATTCGCAGATGAAGATGATGCCATCTTCGAACACATACCATCGAGAACTTTCACCGAGCATCTAAATGATTGATATGGAGTTCACAAACGCAAACAAAAAGTAACGCAAATCACGATACAGAACTTACACCAACCTTGCACCGTCCACTCTAGAAGCTGTTAAGTCATTGATGACCATGATATTTGAAACCATCATTTTATAAAGGTCGCAGATAGGGAAAGCAATACAGGATAAAGTCCTGATGCTTCCACGTGATGTAAATGTGATGACTCTGATTCACTGATAGACTCTTCAACTCATACTATTCCAAACCTGGAATGTCGGAAGATGGCGAAGAATTGCGAAACACAAGCGACGAGGCATTCATATGCCTTGTGAAACATCGGAAGTAGTAGGCGAATGGAAAGAAGAAGATAATCGATAATTATGAAAAATTAGACCAATGCGCAATGATTCACGAAGTTGATTGAAGCGATTGTATGAATGTCAAAAGAGTAACATAATGCAAGACAGCAACCAACCGGCTAGGGAAAGGCGCAATAGCGAGGAAACCGGTAGGCTTACTTGACGTCGAAAAATCATTGCCAAACCTGCCTAAAAACCGCGAAGGAGCTGCACATGCAAATTTTGCCATTCACAAGTGGCAACAATCGTTCCGTAAAAGAGAACAGCTGGAGAGAACACAGCTCTATCCGAGAAAACTAGACGGCCGTAAAACCGCAAGAGTTTCAAAATAGCATCACGAATGGAAAGAAATTTTTTCACTGCACACTAGGAAAAACATGCACTTTTGAGAGCTGATAAAGGGTATGATCCAGACAAAATTTTAGCCGATTGTTCCTCTACTGCAGCGGAACTTCTTTGGCCAAATTCTGCTCTTTTCAGTACTCCTGCAGCTAATTATTTCTTGTTTTTGTTTATAGCCATCAATAATGTATATGCTTTGTATTTGATGATTCGAATTTGAAAGAAAAAAAAACACATGTTGTATCAATTCTGCAAGAGTAGCAAGGCATGACATTTGAGACAATGACTGATTGCGAATGAAAGCCACATAAAAAAAGAACGAAGCGAAAGTCGAGAAGTCGTGAAGTCGCAAAAAATGGACACAGCGGATAAAAAGGATACTTGCTCTGTTCCAATCCAAACAAGAAAGCTTTTTTCCCTATTCATCGTAATATACTGAATCCATACTCGTGCCAAATCCCGCAAGCCAAACTATGCTTCAATGCGCTGGAAAACTACTACTTCCTTGGGCCCCAGCCAGAGCTCAAAAGCGTCCAAATTTGGGCCCCAGCCAGAGCTCAAAAGCGCCCAAATTTCTCTAGCCTCTCTTTATTTCTCTCATCTCTCCTCACGCGAAAAAGTGAAGGGACATTAAAGAAATTTGGGAGCTTTTGAGCGCTTTTAGAAGCTTTTGAGCGCTTTTGGGAGCTTTTGAGCGATGTCTGGCCGGAGTCTGTTATTTCACTTCAGAGCAGTAAAAAGAGCTTCATCAGCAGAAACTAAGCAGCTTATCTTCCGAAGGAAAACATGCGACACTCACAAATTGCCCAAACTTTATATGACCCTCGCAGCGTTGAGTCTGATTAAAAACATAATAGCTGAAAATCTGAGCAGCTTTCTAAATGAAAACGACGGCAGGCCGATTTCTGTTCGAAGATTCTCTCTCGAGAAAAAGATAAGCAATCGTGAACTGAAAGCTAGCTATCCAATACCTCAAAAGGGACGAAAAGTAGGCTTGTACAACGATGCTGATTCGTTTGAAAGATCAATCGTGCGCATACAAGCAAACACCACCGAAAGGTGAGCCATTCTTCTTTTTATCTATGGACGTTTCGATGAATCATACAAGATAGATCAAGGCAGAACAAACACTTTCAACGCGCTAAGTAAGGCAAAAGTGGATGGAAAACGGTATGTGCTCAAAACGCCAATCCCGGACATTACGTAGACTTTCCGACACTCCCGCAGATTTTTTCATGGTATAGACAGCTAACAGACTTTTGTAAGCACTGTTAAGAAAATGATTTGGAAGATTCAAAGGAGAACCAACTTGAAAAAAACTTCCATTTCCATTCTGACTCAGGGGAAAAGGAACTGAACAGCAACTTGAGAAAGGTATTCATGTTTGCAGTACGGATCACGACCACCATTGTTACGATTGCCAGCCTTTGAGCGAAAGAACGAACGTAAAGATACGGGACAGTGAAAATCAAAATGATGAATAATATGCTTCAAAGAAGTGACTATCAAATGTTTTGTCATTTTCTAATGATTAATTGCGACATAATTAGAAACTGTCTTGTAGGCTGCAAGCACACAATTCAAATTCCTTCACGACTATACTGTGCCGAAGGACTGCGAGCCGTTCGCACAAGATCCTGGTGGAACATGCTTTAGTGATAAGAACGCAATAAAATAACGCGAGTCAGCCTGTGTTGTGATAAAAATTCGGCGCTCGCAGCACAATTCCGTTCAAAAGTACTTTCCTAGAACGAAGGCAGATGACAATCTTAAAAAGAGGCGCTGTCGAGTGGCAGAGAACGCCGCTATCACCATATGTGTCAAGAGTCAACTTATATCCCTCTTCAACGTTCACTCGAATAAAAAACTCAAGCCAAATCCAAAAAGTTATAATACCGCAATGGTGCAGCTGGATGTATTAATAGGTTGACCAAAATTTTGCAACTGCCTTCATAACTTTACTCCTTTTGAAGGTGACCCTTTACCTGCACTAACTCATTATTCGGTAACCAAGCAGGAAAAATCTAGGCGTTTTCCAATAGCTGGCAAAATTCGGAAATTTACCAAAAAAAACCTAACAAGGGACCGTTTGCAACTTGAGTAAAACATATCAAGCCGTTTCTGTACATTACCAACAAACAGTGTACAGTTTTGATTAGATGTGTTTTATTCAGCTTGCGAGCTTCGTTCTTGTAGTCGACACAATATCTTAAAATTGACCAGCTTTGGAAAAATGCGGTATTTTTCCTACTTTGTACAAAAAGCTAAACAGCTCCATATTAGGTCATAACATGAATGCACCATTTTTGGAAAAAATAAAGTTGTGCAAAACTTACAAGAAAATGGTCAGAAATCAAGTGACCAACAAACAAGCGGCATACCATCAAATGCAGCATAAAACGCTGACTCCGAATTATTCGATATCTGCTTATCGCCTATGTCGGCGAAGTTATGAGCCGTTGAAGGCCGTTATTTTGGTAAGAACGTGCATGCAAAGCGCAAATTTGGCAGCACAGAGCCATGTTCGGCTAGATGCTGGGCCACAACATGCATCTGGGTTACTTCATATAGCCCATACCTGAAGGTGAGCTAAAAAGCCAATAATGTGCGCACATTTCGCAATTTTTATGTACGATATTCGCAATAAAACTGCTCATAACCTCATCCACAAAGGCGCTAAGCAGACACGGAATAAGATTCGAAATCAGCGTTACATGCTGCATAGGATGGTAGGCAGCTTGCTTGGATTGACCAGTCCGACTTCACACCACTCTCTTTTAGTTGTCATCACAATGTATAACCAACTGACGATGTCAAAAGTTAAAAAATCGAAGCACATAAGTACGGCCCCATTTAAATCTACACGGTCGGCTGCGCGGGCGGTCGCGCTGCGCGCGCACTATGTGTTCAGGTCACGCTTGCCTGCAACCTTTGTGGACCCTCGTTCTCGATCCGCTCGATCCAAGTATATACTTGGTAGAAACATCACGGATTCCGGTTTACGATCATTCAGGTACTTTCGTCGTTCTTGCTCCAAATAGCGCTATATCAGCCATACAGATGATATGGGCCATCTTTCTTGGGGAACTCTGGGGGCCCTCTTAATGTGTAGGCAGTCTTGGTCGAGTTGAGATCCTGTTGCTTTCGAATGTGAAGGAATCCGTGGATGGCTTGTATGCCCCAAAGAGTTATTCTCAAAAACATATCTATTTATCATGCCGCGATGCGCACGTAGGTTTGGTGTTAATGTTGATCATCAATTCTTGCTTTTCGATATTGCTGCTCAACAAAAGGAAGTTCGCACTCTGAAAAGCTGATCAGGTGGATGAACTTCTCCTTCGAAGCAGCAAGAAAGCGTTTTATCAAATTCTTGGTTCATTGATAGGAGATTTACGTTACCAACAGAAGACTTTACGTTCAATTTGCAAAAAAAGGCACTTGGAGTAGTCTACCGCACAATTTTAGTCTTACGCGAGCTCTTCTGCTTTGTAAAGTAGTTTATGTTTATGCTGATGGTTCAAAAGGAGGTAGATAGTAAATATACTCAAAAGTTTGTACGAGCTAATTTACAGTATCATCGACTCCAAGATTCGTATAGAGGCGAGGTTTTTAGCGAGAGAGTACGAAAAACAATATTATGACGTGGAGGTTTAACAGGTTCATCCTTAACAGGTTCATCCTCAAAACCGCCTTTACACGGATCGTAGAGACATCATACATAATACCTAGTTGGCTAACGAACCTCAGGAAAATTGAAAGCCAATGTAGGATGAAACGACTCATCGAAAAACAACACAAAGTGCAGAGCGATAGCAAAAAGCAAAGAAAAATCGCAAGAAACCTAGTAAAACCTTAAAATTCGTGGTATCGGAACCCGCAGTTTACAACGTTGTGCTCATCATCTGACCCAACGTTCTCTTAATTTCATGAGATTTAAATACTTCATACCCACTTGCGACTAGATGGAATTCAGAGTACTTGGCAACACTGGAATCACAAGTAGCCGATACCAATAGTACAGTCTGCCCCAATCCCAACCAGGCCAAAATTGGCATGGCGGGAGTCCGCGTCGCTGAGGTTTCGCGGTCCCGCCCACGACCTGCTTCTCTGCTCTCTCTTCAATCCTTTTGCTCTTTCCAACAGCGCGCATATGCAGCGCAAACGCTTAGCGCTACGAGCGCGCAAACTTAGGCCGACGGTTCGGTCTGATCCCGATTGGAGCAGACTGTACCCTCCACAAGTTCAACACACTCCTAGCGATGATCATAAATACAAGCAAGACCCGAGAAGATTAATTCTATCAAAAAAGTGCAAACGATAATCTTGAAGACATTCACTACTTCCACAACGTGTCCAAACCATCTACTCCTAGTACAGCAAGTGCAACTGTCGCTTCGACTGTTAAACGGTTTACAGATAGCCACTCATTGGGTCGAGATCCACCTTGGGACCGCGAAGTGTCTAATTTTGAGTTCCGATGGAATGAAAGCCGCATTGATTACAACCTAGTAAAGCCTCTCTACCCAATATCAACAGGCCCCAGCAAGCGTGACCCGAGCGCACGCAGTGCGCGCGCGACGCGACCGCCCGCGCAGCCGACTGTGTAGATT